TTCTGCTCTCGTATACCCAGGCTGAGAACATTCTCATATTACAGGCTGTCTATGTCTCCTAGGGACAGACAATGGGATCCTGGTACAAGTTCTGTCTTATCTCACCAGTGTCTCAGCTGAGAAAGGCTCGTCTTTTCTTATATATCCGCAATCCAGAAACTTAAGCATTACCTTTGCTACCTGCCAATAATTCCAAAATCTTCTTTGTTCTACTCCTGAAATCTATCTTCTCTATCCCATCCATCCTGACTACCGCTACTGGAGGTTTTATCTGCACCCTTAGCATAGACTTTGGCTCCTTGTTTCTCCATATTCAGATCCCCAGCTTTTCTTTCTCTCTACCTTCCCCACCACCAGATGAATTATTAGGTGCACACCTCGGCCCAATTAGCACTCCCACTTTGAAAACCATGTTCAGAAAAATACCCTGAAAAGAAAAGCTTTTCAGATCAGGGACATTTCCGTTCCTTTTAGCCTGTTTGATTTAGACCTGCTTCAGTTACCACCAACCCAATAGAAGCCTGATACACAGTAAACAAGTGAATGACAGAGTGAATTCATGAGCAAGTGAGTGAGTGAATAGGTTAATAAATGACTGAATTCCCTAATCTTGCTTTACACTTTCCCAGCTCCACATCTTATCTCATGCTTACTTTCCCCCACATCTATATTATATAGTTGGACCTGAACTTAAAGCATACAAATATATAAATAAAAATTTTAAAAAAATGTATAGAGTTTACCAGTTGGTATCCATACCTATATATTTTGCACATTAACTTATTTTGTGAACACACATTAAAGAAAATATATTTATTAGATAAAAAGCATAAAAATATGTGCCATGAAAGCTTTCAGTTTCTCTCTCGCTGAAGGGGGCAGTCACTAAGAAGAAGAGTTAGAGAAAGTTGGAAGGGTCCATCTGCAGAGAAGAAAGGGTCTGGGTCCTGGTCACTGGGTGACAGGAAGTCTAGAAATAAAACCATTCTAACACTAACTCTTATGGCTTCAGTCTTATGTGGATGGAACCTACACATCCTTCTCCAGACTCAGATAGAATGTCAAAATAAGATATGGAGCCTGCTGCAGCTTTGGAAGTCTGTTCCTGCCCTAGTCCTGTAGCTTGACTCCAGGCGCTTCCCTCAAGCAGAAGGTCCAAGGACTTCACCGCAAATGCATTGATCCAACTAGCAGAGAGTCTTGCTCCCAAGTCTGAGGAGCCTGGGATAGGTGCTTTAATCTAAGGATTTATTGGGCAAGCCTGTGTGACCCTTCAAGAGCCAAAGTAAAGACTAAAATCCACTCAGTGCTATCAGAAGAAGCACCATGTGGCCCCTATCCCTACCATGGCATCTCTTACACAGACAGCCACAGAGCTCCAAGCTGCACACTCCCCATGCTCTAAAACTTGGAGGCCCAGAAATGCTGTGGGCAAGGAAGACAGAAAGAGGAAGGTGTTGTAGAAAGTTCTATTAGCCACCCCTCTACTCTCCTGTAAATCCCATGCCTAGCCAAGCTCTCTGTCATCCTCTTCACCATCTTCCTGTTAGAGAACAGTTTTAGTGTCTCAGGGAAGTCTGGTGTGACATTTTCTGGCAGATATTGGTGCTCTGCCAGAGGACCAAATATTTTACTTGGCTGCTCTGATAGGGTACAAAATTTTCCTTATGGCCAGTTGCATCTGCCCCACTGAGGAGCCATACACCGGAGGGCCCTTGTCAATCACAGCTTTAAGGTCTGCAGATTTATCTTCATGAGTTCCATCCCTGACTTCTATAGAAGCTACTAGCCCATAGACACAGGAAAGTTTCAGTCCCTTTGCTCACCAGTCAGATGGCTTCAGAGTCCTGGGGCTACCGTCAACATCTGTTTCTCTGTCCACACCAGTTCCAATCAAAGTCAAGCTCATGAGAGTTCATGAGCATTGAAACCTGCAGAGATTTTCTGCTTCTCTTCTTTTGCCAGCCAGGGAAGGTTCTTTGAAACCCTAACAAATAGCTTTCCAATCAGGCAGCTGCCCCACGTTGCCTGACAGCAGCCCAGGAAGCAAATAGAGGCCTAATGGAGCACATAACCACTGCTAGGTATACTTGAAAGCCTAGATAAGGGTGAACTTGGCCCCTGGAAAAGCTGTCTTCACTGTGGTCTGTGCACCCCAGGCTGCCGGCAGCTGAGAACTGGATACTAGGCTGCCTGTCTGTGAAAGCTGCTTGTCTGGCCCCTCCCAAGGTCCCTGAGGGACTCTCCCTTGCACAGAGCAGGTGCAAAGCTTTTTCTTTGTAAATTGAAGGCTGAGAACTCAAGGCCACCAAGCCACTGTCTTAGAGTGCTGTCAGAGTTCCTGGCAGACCATCTGATTGGAGGCTAAATCAGCGAGAAATCTGAGAGCAATAAGAGAAATCCCGGGTGGGGCCAGCCAGAGGAGGGAAATTTGATGGATTTAGGTGCTCACAAGAGCCAAGATTTGTGAACTGAAAGGGGGCAAGTAGTAAACCTTTGGCTTCTTTTCAAGAGATCAGGATTCCAAACTGTTCCTAGGTGTACTAGATTCCTGCCTTAGGCCTTCCCCCTTCCTATAACCTGCTGTCTTCTCCCCCTCCTTCCCGCAGCTGCTAGGAGGACAACCTGAGAAGAAAAAGTTGAAATGCACAGTTTCAACCTCTGCGCAGGGCTGGATGTGAACAAGAATCAGACTGGTGGAGAGATCCTGCTAGAAGCCTCCAGTTTCCATAACTGCACAGGTAGTTTGGACGACTCCCCAAAAGGGTGGCCATGAGAGCTTTGACATCCTAAGATCAAAGCCTAGGGCAGACACAGATATGTATAAAATTGGCATGGAGCTTCATGGAGAGTTTGCAGGACACACATTAAGCCACAGAGAAGGTCTTGGCAAGAGGAGTTAAGGGCTGTGTTAGCTAATGTCTGCCTTTTTCAGGAGAATATATTCATGTGTGGCACATACAATTGAATATTTTGAAAATGAAAAGTGGATGGCACACAATGGGGTATACCATAGAAAAGTGGTAATTAGAATGAGCGTTCTTCAGTGGAGGTTTTTTTTCATAGAAAGGGCTCCTTAAAGCCCAAGTACATGACCTCGGACAAATTTGTTCTCTGGGGACACTCTTGGGCTTTCTTCAAACTCTTTCCTTCTGCTGGCCATCAGTGATGCAGAAGGCAGAGAAAACTAGGCCCTGCACCCTCACAAATAACTAAGTAGTAAGATGCTGCTGTGTTCCTCCAATCCCAGGCCTAGGAAGTATGTGAGACATTTCATGGTGATTAGCAGCATGTTGAAGAGTCCCCTCCCCTGCTGCCAGGTGTAAATGAGTTCCTTCCCACATGCATGCAAACTGGACAGTTTCTCCATGGAGAGAGTCACAGTTTGGGGTAGAGAGGGTATAATCAGAGGACAAATGTTCCATATCAATCATAGCCTAAGAGACAAGCAGGGGGTCTGGCCATTAGCCATCTTGTCCCTGTGGCTCTTAAGGAAAACTACAGAGTGGCACAGTGCTGACCTCTCAGCCTGCCACAGAGGCCCAACCAGGAAAGATTTGGCTATAATTGAGGTCTGATCTGGGAGGCCTTCTAGGTGGATTAGGCAGTTAGAAGGAATCCACTCCTAGTCCTGTCAAAAGAAATCAAGCAGTCACACTGTAGGCAGGCAGAAAGGCAGGCAGGGCACATGTAAGGACTCCAACTGAGCTCACCTAGTTCAGGAGGTGTTTCCCCAGGGGATCCACCAGGCTGTTTGTTTGTAACTCAGCTAAATTGCTCCCAGGAGGGAGCCTTTGTTTCACAACATATTTTCAACCAGACTTTTTTGCAAACATGTCTTGTCTGCACAGGCACAGGAGCACCCAGGTCCCAAAGGGCCCAGCCTGGTTATAGCTCTGTCTTCCTTGGAGTTTCACTGTGGATCTCCCAGTTGGAACAGAATACAAGAAGCACCTTTAGGATAGCAATGTGAGGGAAGGCCTCTAGGTGTGTAGTACATGAGCCTCTCCCATAGGATGGCCTTCTACACCACCAAAGGCAGAGGGAGCATTGTGATGGTGGCAGGAATTGCCGCATGCTGTCTTTGTTTCTCTTAACCATCCTCTGCATTGTGGACCCCACCCCCATAATTACTTAGTTCTCTTTATAGTTAGTGACACACATTCTCCTACAGATGGAGAAGTCTTGATATATTTAACTGTCTGGGCAAGTTCCACGTCACTGCAAAGGTGATGTGAAAGTTCCAGGTTCCCACACCCAGAAAGATTTGTCTTGCTTACTTTTGAGTCACCGAGCCCCTGTCCCATTTATTCCGTTGGAGCCCTCAGGAGCCAAGCATACCTGAAAATGACTCACAGACACACAGAGAGCTGCACTCTGATGCTAATTCCAAGCCAGTGGACAATCCACCTTAAAGCTCTCAAATGTTTGTCAACCACTTGGTCCCAGGGAAAGGAGTAGTACCTGGACAAGCTCTCCCAGTGGCTGGACAGTCTGAGAGGTGATTTATAAGGGCTATAGATTCAAAGGGCAAGGATGTAACCTCCAGAACTCTCTCAGGACCTCCTTTTCAGACACTCAGCAGGAAGCCTGCCACTCCCTAGCCTAGGACTCTGGAGAACCTAGCCTAGACACAACACTTTCTGTCTTGCTAGAGACAGGTTTTTCCTCTCAAGAACTCAATTTTTTCCCTAAGAAAATGGAAAAATCCCTGGTTCTTTACATGACATTTTCTCTGACTGAGTCTCTATAATACCTGCCATTGTCCTATTATTGACGGGAAATCAATGGGATGAATTCAGTGTGAAGCCTTGCCTGGGCAAAAGACTGAGTGTGAGGAATAGTAAGCAGTGGAGAATACCAGGGACCTTGGGACAATGGCGGCAACCCAGGCCCAGCAATCAGTATTGGTACCAGAGGGCTATCCCCTAGTATACCTTCCCATCCCTGCCAAAAGTGAGTTTTAGATGAAGAAGTTCGGGTACCAGGTTTTGCTGCAATCATGAAGCGTTTATTGAGCATGTTTTTTGAGCAAATGCTTGAGAAGTGCAGAAGCAAACAGAGGAATACAAAGCAAAACCCTGCCCACAGAGGATGGAAGAGAAGAAACGTTGGGTGACAGAGGCCCACAGAGTCCTGCTCTATGGGCAGGCAGGTGGTAGTGCCTATGCTGGTATTTCTGTCAGGGCTGGTGCCATCCTCCTGTCTCTCCAGAAGAATAACATCCCAACCCATGCACACCTGTGTGATGCTATCCAGTGGTTCCCCAGCCTCCTAGCAGCTAGAATCTCAATAGCATGAGTTCATTTTGAGGCAAGATGCCTAAGTATAAAATGACCCAACTGCTACCTGGGGGCTGCTGGGAGATAAAAGTGGCGTGGGCAAGGGCATTTCTTGAAGCAAAGGGAAGAGAAAAGGGGATGGCTCCAGCTGGGCTATGATGCCTGTGAAACTTCACTGGCGCAACCAAAGCCACAGGTTGGCAATGAAAACGGACATCATCAGACTAAAGAACACAGCCTCCTTATGGCGCCAGGTTGCATCTCGGTCCTCAAGGTCACGCAGCCGCCCAGAAATCACTTGCATCTGTGGAGGGACCAAACACAGGGCTGGTAAGCAGAAATCACTCTCATGAGAAAGGCGAAACAGACGACAAGGGGAAAGTATGACCTCAAAACAAAAGTAATATTTTTACTGCCTTTGTTCCCCCTCCATCTCATTTTCCTTTCCCCAGTTCCCATCCAGCATCTCCAACAAAGAAGAAAGTCAAAGGAGAGCATCAACCTGATGTATCCAAGCCATGAGGCCTGAGAATAAGAGAAAAAGGAGCCTGACCTCACCTCATTTGTTACAAGATATGATTATGGCAAAGGCTATGAAATTTCAGGGGGTGGCTTTGTTCACAGCTGCCAAAATCCACTAGTATGCCTCCTCCACCTATTATAGCACATGCTCACCTGCCTTCTCATAACTTCCATCTCCAAGCCGTTCAGTTCTTCCAGGCCAATCCCTGCCACTATATCAGCCTCCAGGCTGTTGGGACGAAAGGATACAAGGGTCAGAGGTGTTAATGGTCACAGGCAAGATATAGGAAAATCAGATAGGCCTGGTGGCTTTTTGGATAAAGGCTTCAGTCTTTCTCTTGTATAGTAAAGAAATATGAGGGTCTTCCAGAATAAATGAAGATCCCAAATGGCCAAAAGGCAATGGTACCCCATTACTTCAAGTACATACAACTGCCTCTTGACCTGGATGCTCACCAGTCCCTATGACCCCATCCCTGCTTGTTCCTCCCCAAGTAGACAGGGAAGGCAATTCATCTCTTACCGTTCATAAGGAAACCTTCCCCCTTGGAAGGTCCCAGGAAACTCCTGGAGATAGATATCACCATGGCTCTGCTCTCTTGGGACCCGGGGCATCTGCATCTGATGTCCCTACAGAAAGAAAGGAAATGCCACTCCAAGTCATCTGCTCAGCCCTTGCAGTTTCAGAATAACAGTGTACTCCAGAGGAGTTCCACAATATCATATCATCTTCCTACCCACCCACACTATGCCTATTGTTGGTAGCTTCCAGCCTTGCATGCTGTGGCAAAGGAAACACAGTGACAGACTTTTCTTCCTCTGATATAACTTTTATATGCAGGCATCCATTGAAAGGCCAAGCTATCTACCAAAGAAAAATGTAAACCATCTATTTGATTTTAAGTAAGTTAGAAGTAAGTGCCATTTCACACCATGGAGATTTATGAAACATTGTATAATCGACCCTTGGGTCTCATGGGGACTGTTTCTAGAACAACCCCCACCCTGTGGTTACCCAAATCTGCAGATTTTAAAGTCCCTCATGTAAAATGTAATATTCGAATATAGCACAAGCATATTATATGTATTTTTTATATTACTTAAATTGTGTAATGAAATGTAAATGCTATCCTGTATTGTGTAGAGAATCGTGGCAAAAAAAAAATACCTGTACATGTTCTCTATAATTGCTCCACCCCCAGATATTGTCCAACGATCATTGATTGACTCAATGGATGCAAGACCTATGATTGCAGAGAGCCAAATATAGATGTATTCTCAAGTTAACATGTTTGTTGGGTATGCAGATTTACAGAGTTGAAGCCACAGCATTACACAGGACAGCCCCGATCTTTCAATGAACTATTCTGCTCTTATTTGCTTTCTTGGCATACAAAAGCTTTCTCCTCCCAACAATCAACTTCTAGCTAGATCTACTGTGGGCAGGCAGGAACTCCAGAAGTAAAGACCCCCACCCCTAATTTAGCCACCATGTGTCAATACCCCTTTCTTGGGACGAGGTCCAGTCACATTCCAAAATGGCTGGCCTGAACCAGATCCAGCAGGCTTTTGCTCTGCCCTTGAATGTCTTTGGAATCCCCCCAGCGACATGTATCCACTGTCTGTTTTTTCTAGAAAGAAGAACAGAGACTGCATGAATACAAAATCGCAAACATCAACCACCACATCAATAAGGGAGAATGGGAAACACAAATAAAAATATAATCCATCGGTGTAAGTTTAGATAAGCAAATGATCCATGGATGATTAAAAACCAAAACAGGCTAACATAGCAGGAGAAAAGCAGGAGTCAACACTGAAAGAACTAAAAAAGAGAGCCTTCCAGACTAAGCGAAGAGCATACACAACAGCCGTGGGATGTTGTAAAAGAAGCACAAGTGAGTCAACATTTTGGGGGATTCTCACCTGGCATCACCTGCTGTTCTTGGCCTCGTTCAAAGTTTCCAGTTCCCAGATCTTCAGAAGTAGATATTTCTAACTCTTCTTTGACAGAGGACAAGCTTCTTGCCATCACTACCAAGTATTCATTTGTAAGTATGCTCAGAATGGAATGCACAAAGAAGAAACTCAGAAGCTTTCCTGTTTCAGTGGGAGAAATGCAATGAAGATATACAGGCACAAGAGGGTGGAGCCAGATCTCCCTGTCCGTGCCCAAGCCTTGGATTGGCACCTTGTGTTCCCACTGTATCTTTTTGGCAGTGCCCATGGCCTTCTTTTCTGCTGTGTAAGCAACATAGGAGAAGAGATAGGGCTCCAAGACATGCTACTTGTGGGAACTTCACTGATTTACTACCCCTTGATTTTGCTACTCATGGTTCAGTGGGGCCCATCCTTCATCATGGTCTAGGAAGAGACAAGGGCTGCCATAGAGCCCAAGCATCCATAAGTGCCCAAAGCAGTGTCAGGTCCCAGGCTTATCATGGTTCCCACAAGCCCAGAACTGCCCCATAAGCTAGGGTACAGCACTCTATCAGAGCAGATTCTCTGTTCAGAACATCCTCCCTCCTCCAACGCAGAGTCAGCAGGCAAAGTAGATGGCCTTCTCTGATCTTAATCCTGAGAAGGATGCAGACAGGGGCAAGAGGGACTCTCTGGGCTTGTGTACCCTGAAGTAAATTTCAACTCTGCCTCAGTTATCCTACTGATTAGACAAGTTGAATGTGTCAGTTTAGCCAGGTTCTGATCCATCAGACACTCATCTCTCAGTATGTCTACACAGCTGTTGCTGTGATTATTATTCCTAGTAGATTTTAAATGAGGGGGGCTTCCACTCAGTCAATCAATCTGCTGGACAAATCAAGTGCAAACGTTAAGGTTTCCAGGAAGAAGACAAAAGTGTGCACCAGGATTGCAGCAACAATTTTTGTCCCTGACCTACCAGCCACCTTCCCTGCAGGCCCAAGAGCCAATTGTTTAAGTGAATTTCTATGTACTTGGGCATCTGCACGTACATCCTGTCTGCTTTGTTCCTCTGTAGCCTTGGGCTGATATCATTCTGAATAGTCAAACCCTGGCTCTACAGTCCCAGAGTCACTGAAGGAAGAGGAGGTTATTTGTCAGAGGAATCAATCACAGCTGGGCCCAGCTAGGAAGAGGAAGAAAGAAGTAAGACAAGGGGAGGGAGAGGAAGAAAAGGAGGAAGGAAGGGGAGGAAACAGGACTAATAGAGCGTATGCGGCTTGGTGACCCTCCTCCCCAGCTCACTTGCTCAACTCAGAACAAATATAAGTGGGCCCTAACTGCATTCCTAAGGGCCTGAACAATTCTCTCCTTGGAAGAACCACAATGAAACCTGGGCTTTGTAGAGTAGCATATCTTAGCAGCAGAGAAAGCAGAGTGCCTTCATTAAACCCTAGGAGCTCCAGAAGCTGAGCCTAACATTTGTGTCCAACCACAGCTACCAGATTGAGCAAATAAAAATACACTATCCAGTAAATTTGAAGTTTAATTTTTTTAAAAAAAAAATCATTATTAGGGCTGGAGAGATGGCTCAGTGGTTAAGAGCACTGTCTGCTCTTCGAAAGGACCCGGGTTCAATTCCCAGCACCCACATGGCAGCTCACAATTGTCTGTAACACTAATTCCAAGGGATCTGACACCTTCACACTAATGCACATAAAATAAAAAAAAAATTAAAAAAAAAGAGTGTAAAAAAAATCATTATTAGTATCAGTATTGCTCAATGCAACATTTGGAAGCCACTTAAACTGAAATTACTCATGTTAATCGTGCATTCTAATTTAAATCGATATCCTGTATTTTATTTGACAACCATGTCCTGCCCTTCTTCAAGTCCTCAATATTGGTTGAACAATACTACTGTTTGTTCCACAGTCTGTCTGATAGATAGTGGCACAAACAGTCTTCTCTTCCTACATGGTGGCTGGATTAAGAGAAGAGCTCAGAAGTCAGCTACAGTGATTTACCACAAGGCCTTGAGCTAATTCCTTGTCCAGATTCACCCTTAGCTGCCAACTGGACTTTACCCCCGGGGCTTCCTGGGAACAGGAACAATGGTCACGGTGCATGTGGAGGTACTGCCCCCTGGTGGTAGAGGAACCCAACACCTGAATCAAATCAAGAGTGAAGAGACTTTGCTTCCCATTCCTGGGCCCCCAAGTTCACCCAGAACTACTAGCACTCTACTTTCTTCAGTACCTTCTTCTCTTGCACTGAGTGCCAAGGATGGCTGGAAGAAAAGACACAATCCTTTGCATGACTTTAAATTTTGTCCAGAGTACATGTCTGACATGTCAACCTTTATGTAACTTTAGCTGTATCATGATTTCCATCTGAAAAGTCCCTAAATTTGTAATCCAAATACTTTGAAAGTCTTCCACTGCCTATTGTGCTAATCTTAGAACTTCAAAGGTCTACAACTCTGCCAAGTCTTCCATCATACCTAGGTCTAGAAAGATGGCCATGGCCAAGTGTACCAGTGCTTCAATGATAGGCTCCCAGAGAAGAAGCCAAGGAGTTCTCACATGGGCATTAGACAAATATCTCTGGGAATGGGAAGAAAAAGATCAGAGCATGTCTTGCTTATAGGTGTATCTCTATACAAAGACGTCACACAAATGAAATTGTGTATCTCAGAAGTGTGTTATTAGCCAATTTATTTTGTAAGAGAGCGATATGCTCTGGAGTCCCCACCTGTGTCAGAACAGAAGTATAAAATTTCTTCTCAACTTTGCCTACTACCTTGCTCCTGTGAGTACCATGAGTGTCCACAGCTGTTTGCTTCTACAAAGCAGTGGGACTGGGTGTTTCTGGGTATTCCTTTTTGCACGCATGTGTCTGTAGAACAGGAAGTGGCACTGTGAGGTTCAAAGGCATGTATGTTGATGACTTTGAGTTGTACTTGTCAATACTATCAAAATGCACCCAAGCAGGTTGCACAAAGTAGGACCCACCAAGGTAAATAAAATGTTTTTGTTTTTTCTTTACAATAGTTTCAACAAAAGATATTATGGGACTTTTTAAAACTTTGAAAAATGATATCTATCTTGTTGTTGCTTTAATTTACAATTCTTTAATTATGAATAAACCTGAGCCATTTTCATTTGTTTATTGATCTGCATTTCTTCCCTATGAACTGTCTGCTGGAGGGCTTGAATCTTTATTAAAACACGAGCTGTGTTATTAGCACAAAGGGACGGGGGTGAAAGCTCTCTCTCCCTTCAAGCCAAGCTTCTTTACGGGAAATGTATCATCTTTTTCCTTAAGGTGTTCCTCCACTGGGACCAAACACAGCCAGTTAATTATATGCAAGTTTCACGCTGAACCCTGAAAGGATTTAGCTCCTATGAAGGAAAAGTGTCTAACCACACAAATTGATCTCTCTCTTTCTCTCCTCTCTCTCTCTCTCTCTCTCTCTCTCTCTCTCTCTCTCTCTCTCTCTCTGTATGTGTGTGGGGGTGTCTATCTGTCTGTCTGTGTTGGCTGCTTCATAACCTGCTTCCAATAATGCCTCTCAGTCATTAGCCTCTTCCAGCTGATAAACAAGCTAAGTACTCTTCTCAGATTCTAGTTTCCACCTGCTTTGGCAGCAGTGGTGGGAGATGTCAGAAGCCCAAACAAGAAAACAGTTACCATGAATTGACTCCTAGGCTTGTCATTGGACCATCTTGGATAAGTTGCTTCTTTTTATTCTCTGAACCTCAGCTTCCCATCTTCATGTGAAAGACTGAGCCAAACCAGATTTTCAAATTGTGTTTAGTGGTTTCAGAGAAGTACACTGGGAGAAAACAGAACTTCATAAAAGACACTAGGCTATCTCTTTACAAGGCACTGTCTTCTTTGGGGTTCCTATATATTCTAGTTTCATTTCTGTTCATGCGATAAAATACTATGACAAAAAGCAACTTAAGGCAGAAAGGGATGATTATTTCACTCACAATTCCAGTTTAAAATGGATTATTGGTGGGAAATTCAACTCAAGAACTCCAAACAGCTAGTCGCATCATATCCACAGTCAATAGCAGAGAGAAATGAATGCATGTATGTTTGGTTCAATTCTTGCACTCTTATTTAACTAATTTAATTTAGACAATCCACCACAAACACCATCCACAGTCCAACCCAATGCAGACAATTTTTACTTGAGACCGTCTTCCCAGCTGATTAGCTAGGCTTTGTCAAACTGACATTGTTAACCATGCCATATAATTCATCCAATCAAAGGTCTTCAGAGAAATACCAAACATTATTGGATGCAATGAACTCCTGCCTCCAAGGCCTATCCACAGACCATCTTAGACAGCTGCATCCCCCAACTCAAGCAAATGAACCTACCAGATCATATCTTCCAGGCAGCTGGAAGCTTCCTCTTTGTTTGCTAATGAGGTTTATAGACCAGTTAACAATTCTCAGCCTCCTGGAAGCAGCTGGTATTGATGTCATACTTCAAGCCCCAGGCTGCTACCCCCACTAGACAGGAAAGAGAAGGGGGACCATCACATTCTTAAAGAGACAGGATGTACAAAAAAAGGGCCTAGTATCAAGGTGCAAAGAACTGGAGTTAGCTTGGAGAAGGAAGGTCTTTTTGAGCAGAGGCAAGGAAATAAAATATCCTGGCTCTTTTCATAATAGTGATTCTGCTGATCCATAAGCTTGAGAGGTCTTCCAACTTCTAGGTTCTTCTTCAATCTCCCTAGTGTTTTAAACTTTTATGGTAGATGTGCTTCTGCCTCTCTTGCTAAATAATCTTTAAGGTGTTTTTAAGGCTATTGGGAATGGGATTCTTTTAGTTTCAGCATGTTTGTTATTGATATATAGAAAAGCCACTGATATTTGTAGGCTGCTTTTCTTAATGTGCTACTTTGCTGAGAGAAATACAGCAGACTTGGAAAAACAAATATGAAGTTTTCTCTCTAAAATGTGAAACACACACACAATATGATGTGAAAGTAAAAGAAACCC